TTTGCCATAATCAAGCAGCCCTACCTCAACTCTTTTATTAAGCAGTTCAACTCGATAATGATAAATGGACGATAATTAGAGGGTGTGGTGACAGTGGTAGATTGGTCAAGTAAAAGCCTGTTCCCGCAAAAATCCTTCAACAACCCTTTGGTGGCATTTTGAATTTGGTCGCTACCACCGGCTTCTGTCAGCAATCAGCTGCCCTTGCCCAGTGTTTCAATATCTGAATCATCCTCAATTTTCGCACTGTCTTTCCCTTCTGTTACAGACCATATGTGGTAGAATCACGTGACTGCACAAGGTCACGTGACCCCATCTAGTTCTCAAAACAGCATCTTAAAGGAACTTGAACATAAGCACCCTACACTCACCTTTTCAAATTTTTTTTACAAATATATGTTATACTGACAAAATTATGTCATTAATAAAAAGAATTTTTGGTATTAGTACATGTTCTGTATATCACCCACCTCTAATCACAAGGTACCCCAACACAATCCTCAATAAAATACATCATATTATCATATATATATTATGCAACATGACAGGATGTTTTATTATGCAAGTTGATGATATGATATGGTATGATATGATATGATATGATATGATATGATATGATATGAGGTATAATGTGATATGCTGAGATAAAATTCTATAAAAAATTACTCGATAAATAATAAAACATTGACATAATGAAATGCAATATCATTAAAGATTTAATTGGATACTTTGTAATATACTAAAATACATTAATTTATGACATGAGGCAATACAATATACAATAGCAAATGTTATGATACGTTATGAGAAATGGTGTACGGTACTTGTACGCTACGTTTGTGTGCGCTATGTGGTTTACAATGCCGATGACATGATGACATGCATGTATTAAACAAATGTGAAGGAAATTCTAAAACGAATAATCTGAATATCTGTGTCAAGATGAATGCTAAATAGTTAATGAATAAAGAAAAGTTTTTATTTTTTCTTACAGATTGAAATTTGTCAATAGTTTAAACAAACTATAGTTCTGCAGAGGCTCACGTAGTTTAGAAATCCACTAGTACACATATGTCAGACACAAGGCCCGCGGGCCAGATGCGGCCCGCGGAGCATTTTTATGTGGCCCGCGAGATAAATATCAAAAATACATTAAAACTGGCCCGCTGGCCGATTTTACCGCAAATAATTCAACTCCCATGATGCTTTGCGGCGTCAGCGCGAAGCCGACGCGCCCCCTCCTTTGTGTTTTTTCCAGCGCCTGCTGCCGGTGTCTGCAGCTCCGCTGTCTCGGACAAACTAATCACTCCTCTCACTCAGCGCCGAGTTCACTCAGCTGTTTTCTGACGTTGAAGCCCAGAAACGGAGACTCTAGCCGCTCAGTAATGTGTTCACGACTGAAAGAGAACGTTTTCCAACTAACGTCCAGACAGAGCTGATATAACTCCAGCGAGCAGCGACACGCTCAAACCAGCACGGCTCTGTGGCTGCTGTCGTGTTTCCTCCCCGACACACAACAACGTGGTCAAGCTGCTCAGACATGTTCAGCAGCACAAACCTATGTGAGCACCTGTTGTCATCTAATGTTGTCATTATTATGATGAAGATGAACAAAACAACAGGAGTCTCCTCCTCAGCTCAGATCAACCCCATGATGCAGGTATCTGGCTGGAACAGGTGAGCATCACAGTAAACCAGTGGAGCAAACTGAGCTTTAAATATGTTGGTTTTATGCTCTTTTTCTGCTCCAAAACATGAAAGTTAACAGGTGAGATGTTGCATTTTCATTTAAGATAAAATGATATTTTTATTTTGTTGTTGGCCCGTGAGAAAAGATTTAACCTACAGTAAACAGGAAGTGGAAAGGCTGCAGATAGATGAATAGAATAGAAAATCCCTTTATTGTTCCTCAGTGGGGAAAGCTAGACGTCACAGCAGCGATGACACGTATTACAGGAGAAAAAAAGGAGAATAAAAAATAAGAAAAATGAATTAACAAGAAAACATAAATCCTGAATAGATTTTAAAAATGCTGAATATACCACAAGTAATGAATACCACTGATGCCTTTTATTTAAAACTGACTTGCTCGTGTGTAATTTGGTTATTCCACATTCAGTGTTAATGCAGAAATATGTTTGTTTCCAAATTTAAAGGTTCAAAATTGCATATATGTTGATAAAGAAAATGTGCAAATTTGCCGTCACTTTTTCAAAAACTATTAAGTTTGGCCCTCGACTCCGTCCCAGAGTTTCATTTCGGCCCCGTGTGAGTTTGAGTTTGACACCCCTGCACTAGTACATGTAACGTGTGTAACATGTAACATCTATCATTACATACACATGCTGGAAAAGACATTTTTATAACTTCTTATTTAATAGGTAAAGATGTCAATTCCAGTACTGCAGAAGAAGGAAAATGATATCTAGCAAAAGCTAACACCCTTTCATTTTACACTCAGGTTCAATAATTACCACATAGTGAAACTAAACTCGTGAAGGAAAACAGTTGTTATTTTTTTGCTTTTCACTGAAGTCGATCTTAACTAAATGTTGTCTTTAGCTGCATTCCAGCTGATCAGCGTTATCACTGATCCCAAACCTGATCTGTGTCAGTTCTCACGTGCTTATGCTCACTACAGATCCCAGATGAAAGCATGTGCATAACGAGGCTGAGTGAGCGAAGCGTGAGTGGGTCAAGGAGATTGAGATCTCAGTTGTGACAGCTGGACAGTTGAGGGGTTCGGATAAACAGCCCACAGAGATCGAAGATGGGAGGCCAATTGGATCAAAACAAACAGTCGGTATTTGAACACTTCAGCTGATAGGAAAAAGAGGAGCGATATCTTATAAATGTAAGTTACTGAGCTCACAAAAGCACGATTATCTACATGTTTGCAAGGAGGCAGAGAGACAGTTGGCACGGCGGGGGCTGGGGGGTAGTGTGGGGTGGAGGGGGTGCTCAGAATACAAAACCGCTGAACACATTTGCAGCATTCACTCATTAAGAAATAGGTCAAGGATTCTGTCCGCATGCGTAGCGACCTGTCAAAATCTCTCAAGCTAAACTGTGGCAAGCCGTACCGCCTAAAGGGGGAATTCACGGAAGTGCAAGCGGCGAGCTGTGCAAAGGCTGGTGAAGACAACACAAAACAAGAAACAACAACTCCCTCAACGGCTAACGACAACGTTAATAATGCCATTCATAGGAAGATCACACGCTGAGCAGGGGTCATGTGATCCCATTCTGACGCGACCATTAACACAACTCTTTGTTTGGTCTCCATCAACAGAGGACGCTCTTGAGCTGGCAGAGATCGTCGCAGATGCTGATGGTGGCAGTGATGGTGACGACCGTGACACACTAAAAAAGTCTGACGTCTGTTGCAGAACAAGTTCCCCCTAAGACCGACCATCTGTTCTGACGTGACATCGATTCATCTTTGAACCACGTCACAACTCCACCGTGAAATGGTGTATTTTCCAGGAAGTAGTCTGGTTGTCCAAGGTAGTCTTGTGCAAATCACTCCAGAATTATGGTAAATTTAATAGACAACAATCATCTGGACACAGTGCAACAAACAGTAACTCGAATGAAATATTTAAGTTCCCTTCCAGAACACTAAAACAAAGTCAGTCGCTCTCATTGATTGCATGAATGAGTGATGAAATCCTGTCCTGGACTCAAGGCTTCAAAGGCTCCATTTCTGTTTTAAAAACAAACTACCTTCATTGTTTGAGTTAACCGAACTTGTCTACAAAGGTATAAAAATCATCTAAAAATGAGTTGGACATTTATTTGAGAGAATCAAAGCCACAGAGTGGCAATAAAATGGCAAACAAATCAGAGGGAAACCAGAGCAATAGCTCTTTGTAGCAGTTGCTGAAAAGCCAGCTGGTCCGAGAGAGCAGCAGCGCACTCACAGAATGCCTCTTTTTCATTATTAGATTGGAGTTAATTAGGTGAGCATAATCAGCCTGTTATAATCAAACCAAGTCTGAGTGCTGGTTTGTTCTTCCAAAGGCAGCAGCTTTCCTCCCTGGCAGTTACTTTTAAGGGGTCAGAGAGCTGCCGCTCTATGAAATGGATGTAAAAATAAATAAGTCCAAGGCTCATGCTTTAAGAGGGACCAAAAATGGAATTCAGCTAGGAAGGAATGGCTTTTGATTGCAAGGGCAAAGGGATTAATACGCTACCCATCAGCTGTGGCAGATGTAAGTCGTTTTCATGCAAATTTGAGGCAATTTTCTACTTAAGACAACATTTATTTTCTTTAGCCGCTGTTGCGGGAGGTCGTGGGGGCACTGGCGGTCTGACAGAGGGTGAAGATTTGTAGATGTGTGAGTCGAATGGGCAGATGAGGTCTAGCGATGGTCCCGGGATTCCAGGTGGTGGTGAAACATAAACGTACAACTGGGACAGACTTTTCCATCATCTGACCTTGTGGGCCCAAATGAAAGTGTAAGTGAGTGTATGAGGTGTACTATTTAAAGGTTTGGAACTCTGATTGCTCACTTGTTCCAGTGAATCAGGTCCAGGTCATTTTAATTTAGAAATGTGTGGGTTAGCTGCAAATCCAGAGGACAATGCAGGTCAGCAGAACAAACGGACTAATAGTAACTCTTATGGTCAAGTCAGGACATGGCATCTATGGTCTAATCAGAGTCCCAAAGGAAGCAGGAATACTGCACCTGAAGTCTCATGTCTGCAGAACAGGTGAGTGATTCTGGTGCAGGAGTAGGGGATGCTGAAGTGCATCAGCTGGGTTTATTCCTATTCTGTATTACTGAGTGGCTGAGTTGTGACAGGGGTTCAGTCTATCAGAGACGGACTGCCACCTTGCAAAAGCCCGCGGACTGAGAGGATGAATGTCCCTTCCCGGATGTCTCTCCGCAGTGTCGGCATTGAGAGGCTGTTACGGTCATCATGTCTAAGATGTGAGATTACCCTGCAAACCTCCTAGCCCTGAAAAACCCGCCTCATCCAAGCCGAGCACTCACCTCTTCATTTGAACTGGATGTCCCGGTAGTCCGGTTTCCCTCCAGTCAGCGCGCCTGCTGTCCTCTGTGGATCCCAGCTGATGCGCTCACATCCCCAAGGAGAAGGGAAATAAATTCATCCAAAAACGCTTTAACGGTAAAGTGTCTCTTTAAGCTGCTTTACAGTCGGTGTTCCTCCTCACGTTCCTCAGATGAAGGCTAACTCAGCGTGAAGGACCTGTTAAGCGCTGCCGTCATTCACTCAACCGGAGACCTTGATTTTCGTTTCTAATTGCGGATGCAGCGCGTAAACTTTGCGGCGGAGAAGCGCCCCGTCACCATCCGAGCTGACCTCCCTAATGACGGTAACTTCACCGGACCGCGTCGGTGCGGCGGCGCATTCCTCCGGTTCGGCACGCTGCGTCCTCCGCTGGTGGCTCTACGGTGCGCGAAGGAGCCTCCAAGCCGCGGGTAGGCTCGCCATCATCCGCCGGGGGAAGAATTGCACAGCGTCGGTTCAGACCCGCAGCGTGGCTCCTTCCTCCTCTCAAGGCTTTGCAGGACTCCCACAGACTGGCAGCTCCATCAGACTTACTGTGTGAGTGAGTGTGTGTGTGTGTGTGTGTGTGTGTGTGTGTGTGTGTGTGTGTGTGTGTGTGTGTGTGTGTGTGTGTGTGTGTGTGTGTGTGAGTGAGTGTGTGTGTGTGTGTGTGTGTGTGTGTGTGTGTGTGTGTGTGTGTGTGTGTGTGTGTGCGTGCGTGTGTGCATGTGTGTGTGTGTGCTGCTGCCACTGGCACACTGCGCATTTAAACCCAGCCCACTCACACTCCGGCTCTTTAACTGTTTCCGCTTAAAATATTAATTAATATATTAAAAATAAGAATTAACAAAAATATATAAAAGTCCAAAGGTCACTTGAATACACGCTAAATGTTTCTCAAAAATAATACATTTTTTTCTTCCACAAAGTTTTAAAAAATCCATCCCAAAGATGTAGTTTCAGGGGAATTAAACTGTCTTCCCAAAGTTTTCTAATTCATGCTTACAAGTAATAAAAATCGCATTGAAAATTACATTTTTTTACTTTTATCAATCATTTTGATGTAAAATGGATTACAATAAATTCTGCATACTGTATACATTTCTTACCCATTACAGGATTTTGTCCTCACAGCACACTCTGGACCCAGACAGTGACCGGCTCCAGCCCAGCTGTTTGTATTAGAATACTGCCATCTATAGGCCAAACTGTAAACATCATCATCATCATCATCATCCTCTCTCTCTCTCTCTCTCTCTCTCTCTCTCTCTCTCTCTCTCTCTCTCTCTCTCTCTCTCTCTCTCTCTCTCTCTCTCTCGCTCTCGCTCTCGCTCTCGCTCTCTCTCTCGCTCTCTCTCTCTCTCTCTCTCTCTCTCTCTCTCTCTCTCTCTCTCTCTCTCTCTCTCTCTCTCTCTCTCTCTCTCTCTCTCACACACACACACACACACACACAGCCTGTTTCATCCTGAATTCGACCACCATACTTGATTGGCCGCTGTGCCAATAATAAAAGCAGCAACACAAAGACTTTTCAAATTCAAAAGCGTCTGACCATAAATGCACAAATGCATCACGACATTGGGGTTGAGGTGCTTGACAGCCGGGGGCAAATATTTCACTCAGGGATATCGTAGTCGGTCTATACACATCTCGAAGAAAGCATGCACACAAGACTGCCAATACGCAGGGAAGTGTTTTATCGGATTCTTGTGTTTCAATGTTCTATCCAAAGAATAAAATAAATAGAAACATCAACATCGTTCCCAAAAAAAAACCATCCATTCCATCCACCTACAATATTTCCTCCATTTCAGATGTCCTCCTTTTTGTTTCTGTGGGGTTAATTTTCAACATCCGATAAAGGTAAGCTCAGTAAACTAGTCTTCTTTACAGAATGGTATAAATTCAACCTCCGATTTGCATAAACAGCCAATTTAAGGTCAGTCTTTCTCCTTGTTCTTTAGATTAAGATGTGATTTGCTACTTTTTGAGATTGTTTAGCATCCTTAATGCCAGACAGGTTCCTTTGAAGTGACCTCTTAGTTCAGTGGGTCTGGTAGTGATCAGATATGCTCAGTTAGTCCAACTGAACTCAGCTTTCTAAATAATGCCATTAAACAGTAAGGACAACTACAGTTATTTTTGCATTGGACCAGGTTGGTTTGGTTTACTTGTTTCCCTTAATACATTTATTATTTGAAAACTGTTGAATCTGCACAGGTTTTCTTTGATATTGAAATTAGTTTGTAGCTGATCTGAAACATTTAAGTGAGACAAAAATACAAAAAGAGCACCAATCAAAACAGAGAAAATGCCTTTACACATTTCTTTCTTTACATGATAAAGTAGATGACTTTAAATAGTTATCAGCACTCAAATGCAAACGCATCACCTTGTTGTTTTGACTTCTTTGGGGGGGATTATTAACTCATTCACTGCCAATGACGACTAAAGTCGCCATTTGCATTTTTTTTACTGTTTGAGCATCGGAACGAGCCCCCGCACTGAGAGAACAAACATCTCAGCCCTGAAGCCGATCTTTATCCGCATACGTCACAGATCACATGATCAGGAAGCAACACATCCATGTGTTTGGAGATCGTTTTGGGCCGTTCCTGTGAAAAAAGTGAGGCGCGAACCGGAAAAGCGTCTGCCGATCACAATTCGACAACGGATTATGAAAGAACGGATAACGCTCGAAACACGCGGCTTCTTCCTGATGTAAGAGGTGAGTCTCCTCTTTGTTTTGGTTGTTTTGGCATCGACATCATGCTAGCGCGCAACGTTCAGTGACTCTTGAAAAAACAGTAAAAACGGTGAGAAACGCTGGCAGCGAAGGCCGTTAGTGATCAGGAACCGGCTGGCAGTGAATGAGTTAAAAAAGGTTGTTCACAATATGTGATGCATCAGTAATACAGAGCTGGGCAAAAAGACAGTCTCTGCCATCAAAAGTATTGCAAAACTGCCAGAAGGAAGAAGATGTGGAACAACCAGTGTAAGTACACTAAAAGCACAGCGCCCACTTAAAGGCAGGGTCAATAGCTGGAGGGCGTCCATATTGGAATTCCACCACACTGCCTCTCAAATGGATCTTAGTCAAGCCTGGGCGGCAGCGGTAATCAAATACAGACTTTTTTAATCCATTACTCATGACCCTGTTTGGAACAAGCCACGACTTGTCTGATTGGAACATAACTCAATTCATATCGAAAGGGCAAGAAGCACAGAACTGTCTGGAAGAGGTTTTGCTGCTTTTGTGCAGAGAAGCATGATATATTAGCTCATTTGGCAAGGCAAGGATCTGTTATCACCTGCTGGATGACCGTATCAGTTACGTTTCACTTTAAAACACATCTCAACTAACTAAAGCTGACTCCAGAAGGAGTAACAGGAGACCCACTCACGTTTAGAACGTGTACAATATGCAGAAAAACATCAGTGTACCACTGTTAGTTTTGTGGCCTTGTTCCTTTAAATGGATCTTTTATCCATTTTAAATTGTGTTTCTGTGTAAACATTAGGAATAACTCTTCTGCTTGTTGGTAGCTTTCTGAAGGGCTAAATATAACATTGATGGTGAATCTAGGGGTCAAGTCTGGAAATATCTTAGTGTTTCTGCTAAAATAGCCGCGTGTAGAAATAAAAGTGTAAAGTTTAGGAGGTCTAGAAGTTTGAGGAATTGCATTGTTTTAAAATGGCAGTAAAAGAAGACTGTATTCCAACCAGCCATTGGCTCATTAGTCAAATGGTTTCTCCAAACAAAAGCTACTATCAGGGAAATATTATGCAAAGCTAACATCTATCATGTTTTTGTGCTGCCATGTGGGTCTCCACTACTTCTAGAAACACTGCAAACGTGGGAGACCAACTGTCCGTCTGCTTTCTGTTGGTGTTTGGGTTCATATATTAAATGCCTAAAACAAGCTGGTTCCAAATGTCCCTCATTGTGATGTCACAATGGAAATCATTTGGTCGTGACGCAGTGTTTGGACTATACCATTGTTGGTAAAGAAAGCAGGAATGTGACCATACTCATTTTTACAAGTGATAAACACACAACCTATCAGGGGATGGGTGAGCGTGGCCTGAAGCTTGTTCTTCCTAAAAGTGTGGAACACTAAAAAAAACACTTTTTTAATGAATATTTTAGATTGTAATTGGTCACTCTGAACATGAAAATTGTCTCCTACACCTATCTCCTGCATTGCTTCTGGTAGAAAATAGATGGTGAAACTCTAGGGTAGAAAATCCTGACAGATCTACGTCACACTGTCACTGAACATTCATGGACTCACCCATCTTGGCTCGCGATGGGGAAGGCTGTTGTTGGTTTGGCGTCCAGGAAACAGCAGAGAACGTCTTGATTACTAGAAGCTAACTGTTAGCATTAGTAACTCCACCACACAGCAGAACTCATCCATGCTTGTGTTGTTTGTGGAGATAAAACACCAGGGTTGCAAGGGAAACAGAGTCAGTGGTTGACTTGTGTTTCTGTTATCCAGTCAGAGATTTTCAAAAATCAGGAAGTGAGACTCCAAATCCTTTTGTCTGAAGCTCACCTCTGATTTGGCTAGTTCCTGAAACTGTCTTACGAGAGCTTTTCCCCCCAGAGTATGACTTACAAGGCATTTATTCCTACCAGAGACCACTGCAAATGTGTTGTTTTAACAAGTGTTCCATACCTTTAAAATGACAGAGCCCTGAAACTGTTAATTCTGGAAAGTACTGAAAATATTAACACCATAAATGCTGGAATTGCTGAGAGGAATTTGTTCAAAGAAAACTTTATTTAGATGTTTTGTATATGTCACAGAAATATCTAAGCTACCAAAAACAAATAAATACCTCTTCTTCAAAGAAACTTCAAATTAAAGTAACTATTTATGCATGAAACACACTTCTAACCAGAGGTGTGACCAAGTAGCTGCTTTGCAAGTCACTAGTAAGTCACAAGTCTTTCCAGTCAAGTCCAAGTCGAGTCCAAAGTCAATGATGTGGAAGTCCAAGTCAAGTCCAAGTCCTTAACTTTGAATTTTCAAGTCATAATCAAGTCATCTGTCCAACTTCAATTAATGACAATTATGTTAAATAAATCCCAGAATAAAAGCTTCTTAAAGCTTCATTTATTTGCTCAAATACGCAGAAAGTGCAACTAAACTGATTCTAAACAAAGTGCTGCTGCATTCAGCAGCAAATCAAACCCAGAACGAAGAATGATTTATGATTTTTGTCCATGTCGGGCCACTTTTGTGCTAAAATATCAAATATGCTCAAATCATCATCAAGTCAACAGATGCAAGCCGATTCAAATCGCAAGTCATTAGCGTTCAACTCCGAGTCAAGTCGTAAGTCTTTATAGATTTTATCAAGTCAAGTCAGAAGTCATTAAAATAAGGACTCTAGTTTGACTCGAGTCCAACTGTGACTCGAGTTCACACCTCTGCTTTTAACTGTCCCAAATATCCCTTTAAGCTCGCACACACAGTCAATTCTAATCTATATATTCATGAAGCTTTCTAGCTAACCGGTGGATTTAATGTTTCGCTCCATATTAACATGTTCAGTTCAAAGACAGGGAGTGGTGGAGGTGCGTGTGTTTCTAGAGAGAAGGGGGGTTGTTTTTGATAAAGCATCAAACCTAATTGTCAGACAATCAGTTCAGTGAGCAAATGAAATCATGGTCAGGTGGATGAGTGTGCACATTACGGAGATTAAGGCA